ATGTCAGGGGAGAGATCCTGATCTTCAGAAAACTGCAGGTCTGTGGCCTGGCATATGGCAAGCTTATTCAACACTGAATCAGCTGTATCTGTGCTGATACATGAAGGATCACTTATGAGGACTGCACTGTCCTGAGCATGTAGGGTTTGTGAAAGAACCATTTTGCTCATTAGTTCATCATGTATTTCTTTAAAAAAAGCATTATCATAAATACTGGTTGGTGACCACAAGGGCTGAGGCAGCATTGTGTACATTGGCAGGGGCTTGCTGCGAGCTCCCTGTACTGCCTTATGTGGTACTTACTCTTCAGGAAATGTCTTTCTGTGTGATGAAAACAAGGACTTTCCTATAAGCTGCCTGCCAATCTGGGGTTGAGTTATTCTTGAATGGACAGCTCTACGCTTAGTTACTGTGTCCAGGTGGATGTAGAAGGTTTGAGCCCCAGAGCTCCTGTGCAAAAATTCAGCTTCCTGATGCCCACTGATGTGGGTTGTAGAAAGTCAGGTACTTGACGCTGCTTTGGCATTTGTCCTTCCCATTGCACTTGTTCCTTATAACCTGGCACTCTTCCCTGGACATTGGTTAGTGAAAATAATTTTCTAAATATGCCTGTTTTAGGGCGATCTTTTTTGAAGTCAGGAGAAATATCTTCCCTAATGCAATAGCTTTGTAATTTGCCATCCTCAGCTCCCATGCACGTGCCCGTTCTGCAAAAACTAGAAATACTGTCAGCGTGATGGGGAAGTGCCGCTGCTGGTTCAGGCTCTGGCAGATTTTCTGCCCAACACTCTCTGCGTAGAGACAGTGGCCTTCTTGTTGGAGACAGGCCAGGTGACTCTTGTGAAAACAGTGGTGTTGGCTCTCCTCTGCTCCCTCTCTTCACACATCCTGGTAATCTGCTGGGTGTTCTCTTTCTGCCTCTGAAGACAAACTTCTTGGCATTGGCCTCCTCAACTCCCATGTCTCTCTCAGCTATTTTTTTATCTTGATATTGTATTATTGCTGGATATATGATGTCTGTTACCTCAGCCACACACTGTCATTATATTGGTAATTTCATCAGTGATTTCGTTGGTCATGTTTTTCTGTAGCAGGAACAAATGAGAAAGGACATTAAATGTGTTCATTAATTCCTGCATTCTCCCTTCTGCACATGGCAACAGCTGCCTACTGGGTGCGACTCAACCTTTTAGGATAAACAAGAACAGCCCCCCCACGAAAAGTGACATGTATCACCAGAGCCTTTTGGATAGGGTGGGATATAAATCTAACAGAACAAATATAGGAAATAAAAAAACAGCCAGTTCAAGAAAGGCCAGTGAAGGACAAACTAGGATAAGCATTGGTTCTTCTTGAGTTTGTTTCTGAAGGGCCGACATGCAGTCTGAAGACCATGGAAGAAAATTGTGATCATCTTGAAGCCCAGGGGAGGTTTGTTACTGATTTCAGCAGGCCAGGATTCCCCCACATGAGCCTAGAGATGACCTAATTTTGCCATTTTACACTGTTACAAGTGCCGGGGGGCTAGGAGTCGGATACACCTCTGGACACATGCTGTGGAACGGGCCCTGTGTCCAGAGACTGCCACATGCTGAGTGCAAAATGACAGGAAATCTCACTTCATGTTCCATATTTGAACAGGTGCTGAGGCCTGGCATTGGGATGGTCTCTAACCCTCCCCCCTGTCTCCCCGCCTCCCTGAGAAAGCACTTCTCAACTAGCTCACTTCTCCTTATGGAAAAAAAAAAAATTAATTTGCAGATATTTTCTCCATCTTGCACCAAAACTCAAAAGCTGCATTCTCCCTGGGCAGTGCTGCTCCCTGCTCTCTCAGGATGAGGCATCTAAACACTCTGTCTGCTGTACAGCTTTTACGTTGGACTGTGCAGCTTTTGCTAATTAACACCCTAGCCCCTAGTGCAAGAGGTAAAGAGTTTGCCCCCCATTTTACACATAGTAGCTTTGACCCAGTTCTACTATCTAGTAATCTGTAGACACCGGGCTGTGGTGCCTTCTGTAGTTTTGTCGTTCTGTTGTTTCCCTTGGTGTTAAGAAAAGAGTATCTGTCACACAACCAATAGCAATACAGCACATCTTCCAGCATTATATCCTGCTCACTTGTTTCTGAAAAGCATGTGTAAGATTGTGTGGAACAATGCCACTTGGTGACTCCTGCACAACAATAAAATGTACCCTGCTATGACATGCATCTTTCAGTTTTGATATCATCAGCTTCCACTTTTGGCATCTCCCCCTGCCCTGACTTCTTACCTGAGAGGATGATCTTTTCCTGCTTGTGCCTTTATTAGCAATTGGCACAAATCTAGGCTGCTGATTACCTGACATGAAAAACAATACATTCTAGGATAGTCCTAAATATTGAGTGTAACCTGCTTGCAGGTCTAGGAGTCTGTGTCCCAGATGCTGCTATAAAAACCCAACTCAAGGGGTGAGTAAGGGTAAAAGCTTTGCCCTACTGAATTAAATGGGAGTTTTGACATTGACTTCGGTGTAGCCAGAATTTTCCCTGAGGTACATAATCATTTTAATGGAAAGAAGGTGAAAAGGCAGATACAACAGTGGCAAGCATTTTTCATCAAATTAAAAAACCAACAAGATCCAGTTTCCTTCTGTGTTGTACCCTGATCCTGCAAACATTGATGCAACTCACTAAGAAACAATCATGGGAACAGTCCTTTTGCGCTCCCTGGGATCACAGACATTCTAGAAATAAAGCATATGCACGTTGTTAGATTGGGCCTGTAGTCATCAACTTCTTTAGCAAATCCTAAATAGAACTGCCAGCAAATCCACTGGCTACTATTGACTCTAGCCATTTAGTGATTACCTTGTTAAGGTATTAATGATATATATACACATACATACATACACATTGTACTGTGGCTTTGTTTCGAACCTTCATTGCTTTATGAAGCATATGTTGTTTCTTTTTGCTCTGTTTCTTTCTCTGTCCATCCATCTGATGTTAAACCCTGGCTAAATCTCCTGAGAAACATGTAAATGGTTGGTTAATATCACTTCAGCTGCAATTAATTTATGCACCACCCCCTCCTTTACCTGGGTTTCTTTTTTGCTTGAGCGATGGTAGCATTTTTTAACAGATTCCAGAAAGTTGCTAATACCATTTGTGAGCTATAGCTTGGATGTTTACAAACTGTTTTCAGTGGAGTGTATTGCTGATGAATTAACACAGGCCACGTCCTGTCTTTTTGAAGGCACAGTGACAGTGGAAGGATGCACCTTTTCCCTTATGAGCCAGGTAGGGGACCATGCTCCATATCTCTCTTTTCTGTGAGATGTTCTAAATCACCTTCTCCACGCATTTTATAGTACGGCCTTGCAGTGGGATGTTAGATATCCAATTGAGTGCTTGGGTGCTTGGCAAGGAGCCAAGAATGAAGAAGCATGGAACTGGGACAAAGCCAAGCTGGAAGGAACCCAAAAGCAGAGGTCAGGCTTACTGGGGAGAGAGAATGGGCACAGGGCCCTGGGGTCACTAGAATGCACCTCTGTCCAGATCCCGGGATAGGCCTGAATATCCATGCGTCTCCCCACTCTTCTGCTGTCAGCAAATTTCTGTGAGCCTTACCTGTAAAGTGCACCCCTCCCCACTCACATCCTCTCCCTCCCTCCCCCTCCCTCAGTGACTGAGTCAACTTAGACAGCAGAACCCAATCATCCTAATTTCTACCAAGTGCCATTTATTGCCCCCTTTTCTCCTTGCCAGGTACTGCTGCTTGGTCCTTATTTGCTGCCTTCCCTTTCTTGCTGAATGCAAAGGGGCTTAGAGACAAAGATTTCTCTTTCTTGAATGGCTCTTGAAACTATTCCCCTAGGATTCTCCACTCCTGTCAGTTGTATTCCTCATTATCTTTAATTTGTGGGTGGGGATTAGATGATTAAAAACACTGATCATGTGATGTGATATCATGGCCATATAATTACAGGTCTAATCTGTCCCCCTTTGGCAGTATGGAATGGAATTGGATCATAATCACCTTGCGCTAACCAACCACCTGGCCATTGCCTCCTAGCATCAAATGCTGTGCCCCATAATTGGCTATTCAGCCTGTGCAAAGCGACTAGCATTCGTTTTGGATTCAGATTTGGCTGATTCAGGGGACAGTGATTCAATTCAGTGATTTGAATCACTGTCCTGAATCGATTTGGCCAAATCTGATTTCGAGATTTGGCCACCGCCAGATCTCCAAATTGGACAGGCCCCATTCCTTGCCTGCTTTCCCAGCCCTGTCAATGGCTACCCTGCCTGGCCCTAGCTTCTGGCTCTTTAAAAAAAATTTTTTTTAAGTCCCAGACTTACCGGCTCCTGCCAGGCGGGGGGCAAACCCCGTTGCCCCCCCACTGCCCCACATTGTGTGGAGGGCTCTGCCAC